CCCTGGACCGCATGGGGATGGACCCGGAATATGAAATTAGCCAATGCTAATGCTATAGCATCTTCTTACTCTCTCCTAAAACGGCGTTTACAGGATGGTTACCAGGTCTAGATTAGTTGTTATGGAATTCTTGAAAGCAAAATGAGTTTTTTCACATTTTCCATTTTTGAACCTGCCCATAGGACGGCGGAAATCGAAAGTGGTGGCACATTGGTTTTTCAACAAAGAAAACGAGCAGAGTTTGTGGCGAAGTAAAAGTGTGGCAATTTACAGAAAATCTTAAGGATTTGAGAAGACAAAGATCTTTATGAACAGCTGTAGGTTCTCTGTCAGTGAGGTCGAGCTGTTTTAGTTTACACTGAGTTCTATTGGAACATTCTTCCTGGGCTATTAGCCCATGTGAATGTAGTCTGCGAGTACCACGGGCGCCCCTACTGTGCCATGGGAGGGACAGCTATTAGCTCTAGTAACACACTATCCAGTAACTTCATAGATCTCATGCGTTCCTCCCAGTCTGCGCCAGTCGACGAGCTCCCATGATGCTTTGCCACAAATACCGGTATTATTATTAATAGAATCCATGGTATGTGGCTCTCCTGCTCGTGTTAAGAGGGGCACGGAAATGTCCTGAACCAATCAAGCTGCTGAATCAGAGCTGAGTAGAGCAGGTAGTTAGAGTGGGAGGACAATTTGTGGCACTAGGGTGGATTTATAGAGAACCGAGGCGACTGGAAGAAGCGAAAAAAAGTTCGGATGAAAAGGGGACCATCTTATATTCCCAACATAACCCATGGAACTATAATATCTAAATTGTGTATTACTAGCTTTATATCTGTCCCACCTCCGGGCACAGGGGGGGGCGCCCACGGATACTGACAGACTAATTCATGCGGACATACCAGAAAAAGTCCATCAGAACTCAATGTAACTAAACAGCTAGACCTCAGTGACAGAGTACCTACAGACTTTCATAAAGATCTTTTTTGTCTTCCTCAAATCCTTAGAATTTCTGTCAAAATCCACACTTCCACTGCCACAACTCTGCTCGTTTTCTTTGTTGAAACAATTGTGCCAACACTTTCGCCGTCTATGGGAGTTTCAAAATGGAAAAGTGAAAAAACTCATTTGCTTTCAAAATCCTCACATAAACAACTAAGCTAGACTGTACCATCCTGTAAAGCCGTTTTAGAGAGGTAAGAAGATGCTCTATACATTCGCATTGGCTAATTTCTTTTTCAGGGTCCATCCCATCGTCAGGGGGGGTATTGTACGCATGCTCAGCACACGTCAATTTGGACATTTTAGAGCACAGGACCCACCACCACTGATGAAAACCCATTTGCGCATGCATTCGCGGAACCCGTACCATTAATTTAACAAGTGCCTTATGAAGTCCACAGGCAGCTAAAAAATAGACTGCGTCACACAAATTATATCCCCTCGGCATTGATCACATCTGTCAATGTTGCTTTGGGCAAATGGTGGCAAACTTTTAGGGACCACTCCTAGTTGAAGGTTTTGCAAGAGGAACCGTAGTGGCATGAAAGAGGGCAGATTGCAAGTATGTCGGCGCACTAGCTCATAGACCTTTTTGGAGCTGGACACGTCCCTATTGGTTTTCAACAGGTAGCTTGTAGGCAGGTTCTGAGCCAAAACATAAATGATCAGGAATCCTGAAAAGGGTAGAAGATCTGAAGTGGAAAAATATTAACTATCAATTAGCACAAATGAAACGGGCTGGAATGTGTGGTTTTCACTGGCTGCTGATGACGAAGATTGCTGCAGAGATGTGCTGCTCTACTGCAGGAGCCACACCCAACAGAATACTCAGGATGGGGACTGCAAGAACCAGACTGTGACAAGATTTTGTTTGTACCAAGAGAGAGTCTGTGACACGGGGATCATAGACTGTCCAAATCAGCAGCTTGCTAACGGTGGCAGTAGCTTCGGCCTTCAAGATAATCAAAACATCAAGTGGAAATTCACCTCGTTTGAAGAATGGATGAGTTCAACTTTCATCTGTTAGCATTAAGCATCTGCTAGCTTTAGGACCTGGCAGTTTTTTACGGGATGAAGATGGTTATCACTCAAGGATGCCCCCGTATCTACATCTGTTTGGGTCACATCTCAGCAGCACAGGATACAGGTTGGCCACTACAGTCTTTGACAGAGTCTTGTAAAATGAACATATTGTGAACAAATCAGACCACAAACCTGCTGTCCTCATCTTATTAGAAAACATTTTATCTTGTACTGGGACAGAGTGACCTAGTGAGGGTCTCCAGTCCAAAAATACATAAATATGACATTCAGTGATAAAGCCGAACAGTTTGAGAGAATTGAGACTGATTGATTACACAGTTATGAGTGGAAAGTTTATTTGAACATGGAACTAAAAAACAGAATTAGAACAAAAAAAACTACAACTATCTAATACATGAGAAAAAAATACACAGTAACTTTTTTGGTTTATTTTTCTATACATACAACCTTTTTTACTTAAGGTGAAAACCAAAAATTGATATTGTTTGTATAGACTCATTTTCTAGAAGACAATATTATTTACAGAGATGGGTGTTTTTTGGCACTTGCAGTTCACAGTTTTGGTCCAGACACGCAGCGATGTCCTCATGTGCTTCCTGTGATTGGCTAACAACCCTCAGCAGGATGAGGATAGTAGCATCTTGTCTTGTTCAACTCAAATGTGTTCCTCATTCGTATCTTCAAGAAAGAGAAGGCGAAGTCGAAAGAATAACTATTTCAATGTTTTGCTCGGATTCAAGTTCCAGATGACGTGCCACTAGAAAGTTTTTATTGTATGTTTTATGAATATTGAGAATGTCCAAAATGTTTTCCTATGATCATTATTTAACACTAGAATTCCTAGAAACAATAATATTTACGGCATAATTCACGGCAAATGATTTAACTGTGACTTTTTCTGTTTCTTTGTGTACTGAACACAAAACTATCTGTAGTCTGTCTATTCCATCTACTCCATCTATCTATCTGTTCTATCTGTCTATCTGTCTATCTATAAGCAGTGTTATTTGCAGGAATCTGGACCTTGTGTCTGCAAATAAAGTTATTCTATCTGTCTATAATGTGTCTATTTATTCCGATGCCGTACTTGTAAGAAAAAGATTAAAACATCTTCATTACAGGTAGTGTTTTTCATCCTATGGTAACAGTGAAATTGGATTCTCGGATTACAGTTTTTCTCGGTTCGCTTTGGTGCATTTTTCACAATCGCTTCTTCACACTTTTCACAAACTGTTGGTGCATTCTCAGAAACAATTGTGCAAACTGCAGAACCTCGTGGATAACCTGCAAAAGTGCGTTCACTTTCTCAAAATGAAAAGTTATGTCCTCAAAAGCAAGTTCAAACGTCAATGAAACTGTCTGTGTCGTCAAAAATAATATGTCCTAACAACATTGAGTATTGAACATCACAGTCAAATGGACTTAGCTTCATGTTTTCATTGTGAAAGTTTACTCTCTCTGTGTTTTCAGAGTAAAAAAGTCAGATCTCGGTGACACTTGAGCACGGGACTTTTATTTTTTTTTTTTTTATTCTGTATGAGCACACTATACACGACCTATACAGCCATTTACAGTAAAAACTACAGTAAAGTTACACATAAGACTTGTATTTAGAGAGTTAATGACATTCTGTAAACATATATGTATATGTGTATGTATGTATGTATGTGTGTGATCTATGTATGTATTGTAACAAGTATGTCTGTGTGTATCTATGTATGTATGCACTGTATGGTATGTGTGTATGTGTGTATATATGTATGTTGTACAGTATGTTATATGTATGTGTGTATCTATGTATGTATGTACAGTCATGTATATGTATGTGTGTATGTGGTGTATCTATGTATGTATGTACAGTATGTATATGTAAGTATGTGTACTGCATATGCTCTTTGGATTTTTGTTGCACAAATGCTGTAGAATTGCAGCACCATACAGTATACTGTACATGTAGTTATACATAGAACAAACATACAAGAAATATCATTATGGCTAGAACTGTGACAAAACATGAAACAATAAAGCATACCTCATGAGTGAAAGCTGAAATTCACCTGGGATAAATTGTTCAATTTAAGAAAGATTTACTGGAAAAAAAAAGATGAAGGAATGTATGAAATTAGCTTGACAGTTATGATTTTGAGAACTAGCTTCAACATATTTTGTATGTGATGACCAAAGCGATGAAATGAGGACAGTTAGTTTTATAGTGAATGTCTATTCAGAAGTGATAAGTGTGTTTCATTTTGACTGAACAGGACAGAAGCAAATGATGATGTTGAAAAAACGCTGAGAATTGTATGAAAGTATCTGATACATGAACAAAAAGCATTTGAAATGTGTTCAGAGGAATGAGAGAACTGCCATGATCAGTGCACCAATGACCCAATGTTGTGGAAGTTGAAACAAATAGTTCTTGAGAACTTTTAGTCTGATGTGAAAAATGCACAAAGCGACTGAGAAAAAACTGTAATTCATTTGTCCTTGTTACCAAGAAAAAGTGTGTATGTAGGAGGGGAAGTTACTTACTAGTTGTTCCATAACGTCATTTCTGTGTGCAAAAATTATTAGTCCTAATCTCGTTCTAATTCACTCCCAAGATTATGATTAAAGAGGTCCAAATGAAGTAAACCATTTCCTCTTAGAAGGGTGTTTGGAAAACAGGAACATCTGATCACACTCTTTATTTATTAAATGTTCACACCTCTTAATCTCTCTGTGACTGTTGATCTTTCGAAAGAAGGAGTCTTCACGCCAAAGTATTTGCATAATTTTATTGAAAAAAAATAGAATCTGCAAATTGCTACATGAGGTTGTTTGACAAAAATGCACACACATGTTATAAAAAGTAATAAAATATATCACATACAAAATGGTCCTCTGGTGACATTGCTCCTACCGTTGTTTGCCCTCCCAATGTGTTTTAAGCAAATAACACAATATTGTTCGCTTTATCAGCACTTGTCCATGTCCTGAAGCGGCATTTGAGGTCTGCTTGTCCATGGATATCTGTGTCCGTTGACGTCGTTGGAGCAGCCTTCGCCCTTGACACCCCCCCCCCCCCCCCCCCCCCCACCCCCCCCCCCCCCCCCCCCCCCCCCCCCCCCCCCCCCCCCCCCCCCCCCCCCCCCCCCCCCCCCCCCCCCCCCCCCCCCCCCCCCCCCCCCCCCCCCCCCCCCCCCCCCCCCCCCCCCCCCCCCCCCCCCCCCCCCCCCCCCCCCCCCCCCCCCCCCCCCCACCCCCCCCCCCCCCCCCCCCCCCCCCCCCCCCCCCCCCCCCCCCCCCCCCCCCCCCCCCCCCCCCCCCCCCCCCCCCCCCCCCCCCCCCCCCCCCCCCCCCCCCCCCCCCCCCCCCCCCCCCCCCCCCCCCCCCCCCCCCCCCCCCCCCCCCATAACCTAACCTCTTTCAGATGCTGCATCGATGAACTTGCGGAATTTCCTTGTGGCGAAATTGTACACCCACCGGGATCCAGGATACAGTTCAACACAATCAAGCACCAAAAAGTCACATGATGTGCGTTCGATGAGATGTTGTAAAGATCTGGTTGACCATTGCACGCTGCCCCAAACCTTCTTGAATCTGCAACACCGCTAAACGCACACGGCCCTTGGACAACGTGGTGTGGCAAAAAGCACAAGATGAAGACACCGACCACCGCTAGCAGCATCTGCGTTGCTCTTTGCTTGACACCTTCTGGGGCGCTTTGCGTTGGAAAAAAACTCCTGGTGGAACTTCCTGGATTTAAATCGTAGATCGACCTTATTCAGATTGGAGCGGGAGATTGCGTGATGAGGTTTTGAACGATGAGTAGGTTGCACTATGACGACGAGGAAAAAGATAACGCAAAAACATTGCGATTATGGGGGCCGAAATGGGTCGCGGCTACGGTTTTCTTCTGAGAATCGGTCTTGATTTTGGTATCCTTCAAAAGCAGCGAGTTTTACCGTCGGAATCCAAGTTGGTTCCAGTGTGAAAGTAGATAAGGAACGGTACATGGCGACGACAGGCAAGCCAAATGACAACGCCAAATTACCTATCCCGCGATTTCGACGGTCCGAAGATACAGCACTCCAACGGCTTCGAGGACGCCCCAGTATCGGTTGACACTAATAGCACCCAGAAGACCCAAAGCCCGATGGAACAGAATATGTATTGACGAATAAAATAGGGATCCCTGTTAAAACGGACACATTAAATCGGAGTATATCCAATCGCCACGGACGACTGTAATAATCGATCCAAAAAGGCTTAGCGCGGACCACGAGAGAAGGTTCCGCCACCGGTGAGGTTGGTATGTTGATTGCGAATTTCGCCCATGGCTCTAGCTTCGCGAAGACAACGAATCACGAAACAGGACGAAGATGTTGGCGAGTAGACCCGTGGCGAAGATCAAAGCCGTAGATGGGTGGAAGAGGGCATAGCGAAAACTCAGAGTCCAGGAAGGGAAGGGTGTTGGTGGGGAGAGGGGAGACCGCTGGGGTCGGCTGTGGGGGACCAGGGTGGGAGGGAAGCATAATGAGTCCAACTGGGGAGAGGAAAAACTGTGTTAGAAATATTTAAGTCTAAGATAAAGAGATTATTTATTCCTCCCACAGTGGAGGAATGGTCAGTGTTGCATCATCAGTGATAGAACAGTAGGAATGAGGAGCACACGAGCTAAAATTGAGTTAAAGCCGTAAATAAAAGTGAGTAAAATTTAAATTACAATCTCTAGATTTATCAAAATAAAGAGCAAGTTTAAGATCTCTATGGTTGGCCTAATAAACGAAGCAAGTTTAAAATGTACCTAAAACAATTTATAGTGGAGGCTAGTTTGCAATGTCGTCCCTAGGAGGGCCTTTCTAACACTATTAAAACACATTATACATTATAAAAATTCACATTATACAGACAAGGCAGACAAAGTTAAAACATTGAAGATAACAGAACAAGAAAAGAGGGACATCACAAAAGCGAGTTTCAGTGCAAATATGCGGTAAATTGCCAATAGTTTGTATAAAAGTGCTATGTGCAGTTAAGGTGCTTCACAACTGTTAAATGTAGTTCCCAAACTTCTATTCCCGCCCCAGGGCCCTATGGCGTCGTCCTGAGGGTAAAAAGTTGTTGCTGGCAAACAACATTTAGCCTTCAAACACTATCATTTTAGGTTTAGTACAAGTTTAGTTAAGAAAGGAAGAGAAATGGATTTGATACCAGGGCGAGAACAAGCCCAGATAAAACAAGACTAGGGTTTTAGTCCTGGACCACTGGGGTAATACTTTATTGGTGCAATTAAAATTAAAGTCGGTAGTCTTTATTTGCAGCGGTCTAGTGCAGACGGTAACAGCGGGTAAATAAGGCTTTGAGCGTCTGAGCTGAGTGTCCACAATAAGCACTATCAGATGAGAGAACATTTTTTCGTCCCACAGTGGGGTAATGTCAAAATATATATATATAAGCAGCTGCTATGTTTCTTAGCTAGCTGTAAATGCCTAACATAAGAGCAGCAAGTATCAAGTATGCAGTATGTGTGTGTGTGTGTAAAGTGTATGGCTGGATAATCAAGTCAGTTAAAGGGACATTCAGGGGACCCTCTGGGAATTGCAGTATTGCATATTGCACATGATTACAAACTTTACTATTTGCAGATGGATGGTCACTTGTACTAGTGTCAGCAGTCTCTTTGTGTCAGTCTGACAAGCAGCAGGAAGAAAGAACCTGTGAAACCTCTCCTTCACATCGTGGGTGTCCTGTCTGTCACTGCAATCTCTTGCTCTCAGAGATATAAGTTTGAAATATTATTATTGTTATCTTAAGGAGGTGTTTCTGTAAGATGGTGATCAAGACAGGTGTCCTCCAGAAAGGCCTGATAATATTCAAGATTCAAGATTAAGTGTATAATGTACCCGAAGGAAATTTAATCTTAGAATCACAGTTTTCTACATTGGAAGTGCACATAATTCATTTCCAATTCAATTATTTTTTTTGCAATTCCCTAAATCGCAACAGTTAGCTATCTCAGAAGACTTAAACTTTCAGTTCAGACACAAGAAATGCAATGATTTTAAAAAACACTAGAGCCATTGGTCCAGAAGACAGACATGAAACATACAGAGCAATGCAAGGAGGTTCTGGAGTTTCACAGATTTAGAGAGATACAAGTTGTTATTCCGGCTGTGGGATATTTTATTACTATTGGTTTGAGACTCCTGGCAGCGTCCACATGGGAGAAACTCCCACACTAGAGTGATTCAAGAAAAAACCCCAAGGGATTCTCAAATTATCAGCTGTAATGTCAAGATGGGATGCTCTCTAACTGGTATACACACTTATCTGTACAGTTCTGCTTTTGTTTTAACACACACGCACGCACACACCACACACCACACACACACGCACACGCACACCGCAAACGTACACACACACACGCCACACACACACGGCACATGCAAGTCAGGGCTTGAGTCGATGTGGATTCCCCCAGTATCTATAGTATTTCCCCTCTGAGCCATGGATGGAGAGCATGTAACTAATAAAATTTTAACGGTAATATTACTCAACTCTTTCGACTCTTAATCTGTATAATTGTAAATGGATCAATCATCTGCATATATGTAAATATGTATCATCATTCTGTATAAGATAACACTGTGTACTATATATACATAAAGACTGATTAAGAATGAGGAAATTAAACTCTATGACTCAGATCATCACACGAAAAAACAAATACATTCTTAAGATTCGGGAATACGTCTCAGAGTTGTGGGAGATGATAAAGATTAAGAGATCCGTATATTCGTCCCACAGTGGGAAATTTCAGTGTTGCATCATCAGTGACAGAACAGTAGGAATGAAGAGCACACAGCACCAGATGAATTAACAATACCTTTATACTGTTATATAAAATATTGATAAAATCTCTAACTTCAGCATAATAATAATTAACTAATATAATAATTCAAATAAAACAAACAGACCAGAGAGAGAGAGTGAGAGGGGTCAGAGGGAAAGATCCCCAGATAGAGACCTGTGACAGAACCAGAGAGAGACCAAAGAGACCCCAGATAGAGACCAGACAGAGTACCCAGAGAGAAAGACCACAGATAGAGACCTGTGACAGACAGAGATAGACCAGAGAGAGACCAGAGAGAGACAACCAGAGAGAAAAGACCCCAGATAGAACGAGGTCACAGAGAGAGAGGACCAGAGAGACCCCAGATAGAGAGGTCAAGAGAGGACCACAGATAGAGAGGTCACAGAGAGACCACAGATAGAGAGGCCACAGAGAGCAGAGAGAGAGACACACAGAGAGAGAGACCACAGAGAGACCAGACGAGAGGACCAGAGAGAGAGGCCACAGAGAGACCAGATAGTGAGTCCAGAGAGGAGAGATGTAGATTAGAAGATATTGTGTTTTCTAATTTGTTCTAATATGCCTCTCACCTGTCTGGTCTGCTCCGTCACAGTTGTCTTGTCTTGTGTGAGTGAGAGAGAGGGTAGAGAAGGAGTGGAGAGCAAGAGTGAAGGGGCGGGTCACAAAACTCCCTCATTGTGCAACTATCTTTTTCGCTTCCAGTTTTTTACCAGTTCACTTCAAATATTTTTTCCCTATTTTCTTGTATTTCTTACAAGGCAAACAATTACAATATATATGTTGGAAAGTTGCTCTTTGCTAAAGTGAGAGATATTAAACTTTTTTCTTTCTTATGTCAGAGATTGTATGTGTACTTATAACGTTTTGAGGTATTACTACATTTATCTTGTGCTTAGTCATTGCTGCTCTCACTGGTGATGCAACACTGTATTTCCCCACTGTTTGGACAAAATAAAGGATCTCTTAATTCTTTGTCTTAAAACATTGTCCTTCATTTGTAGGCATGTTCTGCGGGTGATTCCAGTTCCCACAGGTGCACTCTCTTCGGTCAGACTCCAGAGGACCCTGCAAGAGAGATACTTCATGTTTTAAAAACTTTGGGAAACATACTGGAGACACTGCCCACTCCCATGGCCATATCACAACAATAAACAGATCCGAAAGCAAAGAGAAAAAAGCTAAACAATTATAAATAAGAATGTTGGATCCAAACCAAACAAGCCAAGGAGGAAGTAGAAGTTACCATGGAGGATTTACTGACGATCTGGAACATGGTGAAGGGTGAACGGGTCTTTACACTGCAGTAGGTGTAGGTTAGTACCATCTGAACCAACGGGACTCTGAGGAGCACAGGGTCTGGCCTCCTGCTGGGACTCTGAGGAGCACAGGGCTGGCCTCCTTGGCTGGGACTATGAGGAGCACAGGGATGGCCTCCGCTGGGACCCTGACGGAGAGCAACAGGGACTGGCCCTCTTGCAGTGACTCCAAAGAGCACAGGGACTGGCCTCTATGCTGGGACTCTGAGGAGCGAAATAA